ACATCTAATATACACAATATACATAAACTATACATTCTAGTGTTTCTGCCATGGTTTTAAGTGAATTTCTGGACATTTAAACTGAATTATTTGCATGTAGTTCAGCCAAAGTTTGATGAAAGGAAGAATATGTCATGTAATAGGAGAATTGCTTAAGAATCTTAAGCAAAATCTCTGCCTTTCTGGTTTGGCTTTGAAGAATCTAAAATGGGTTGACTTTTTAACTTATGTTAAATTACTCATTACATTTTCTTTCTGAAGTAAGTAATGCTGTAGTAGTAATACAGAAGTGTAGCCTCAGCACAGTCTGAAGCTTTTATTGTAGCTTTTGCCCTTTTATTGCATAGGTCCTTTATAAAAAGCCTTTTATTTTATTCCCTCAATTCCTTACTCTGCCCAATACACATCCCAAATTCATGATTCTAGAAATGTTGACCATATGTTACCTTATTCTCTTGAATAAGCTATTAAAATGCAGTTGAACAAATATTTCTAGGCAGTTAAGTGGATTGTCATTTGACCTATGTTTATGATTTATAGCTGTGCCTTTTTGTGTGGGTGCTCATATGTTACTAACAAATGCAAATCTTATTTGGTGCTTTGTGGATTCTTCATATTCAGCACACACTTGTCATTGTTAAGAGGATAAGCTGAGATGATATCATTTAAGCAAAAATATTAGTATTGTTTGTAATTATGTTTTTGAACATTTAACATAAATGTAATAATCTCAGTTTCATAACAGAAGGTCAGAGTTGAGCTTAATTGCATAGAAGATTAGGAAGTGTTGAGTTCATATGTCATTCTTGTAGATTATAAAATAGGATTTACTAAATAGGTTATTTAAACATAAAGAAGAAGATTCTTTTTTTAGATAGGGCAGATGGCTTCAACAACTAACTAGTGATTTGTTTACAAGAAGCCTCTCAGCCTCAGCTGTATGTAAAGATCTAGGTGAAATAAAAGCAGGCAAAAATACACTTAGGGAAAATTATATATTTGCTTGGTTGGGGGGGCATATCTCCTCTCATAAAATATCCTATCTTAGAACAAAAACAAGTTGCATTTAAACTCCCTGAATACTCTCACTTCCTCATTATATATCTTCATCATTATTTATCTGCTTAAAAGCAGAGAGTATATGAAACTTAAGTATTACTTTTTACTATCATCCCCATCCAAACAGCTCAAGAAATGCACAGAGCATCTGCTCCTTTGTTCTGCCACTTAAAATTGTGTGGAGCCAACTCTGTGCTGCTTGTGTACAAAGGGTCAGCAGTTAGAAAACAATAAACTTAGGCCTGTTTTTCCTCCCTCACCATGAGCTGCTCATATATAGCTTTGATTAATATTTGAAGAAGTTATGTGAGTGCACTAATGTTGGAAGAACAGTAGGTCTCTTACTACAATAATAAAAACCCCACCCATTTGAATGGGAGAGGGTAGATATTTCAGAGCAAAGGGATCTACATAAAGAATTCTACTATCAAACCAGCAACAGCTACTAATTTGCTTGGATTGTAAGGTAGGCTTTGAAACTCCTTATACTACCTGCTAATACACACATTCTTAAATAAATTCTTAGCCTGCAAGATCCTATGGGGAAGAAAGCTATTGTCAGTATATATATACATGCACAGTGCCTAGCATGATGTCAGCCCAAGGGCATGAAGGCACTGCCACAAACACACACATAATGTTCAGCCACAGTGCCATGGAAACACCTAGATATTTCTAGCATTTTGTTTTTCTAATAAATGTTCTACTAAACCATGGCCCAGGGCTCTAAGGAGAATTGTAATGAGTCTTGAACATCTGGACCAAACTCGATAGGGAATTGTCATTATACTTCTATTTTCTGCATACAGTCGCTTCTGTATGCAAGTGTCTGTGGGGGCTGAGCACAAGTAAAGCAGTAATGGCACTTACTATATTTAAATTCTTTTGACTTATTCATCCAGGCAGCTCAGTGCAAATAATAATGTATGCACAAATAGAGCAATCTCTGGGTAGGTCTACCTGACAAATGTAGTGCGGTGCTAGGGTATCAGAGCTAACTGAGCAAGCCAGTTTGGCTTCCAGCAACAGTTTTAGCTGCATGAGTGCAGTACCTTGCCTCAATTGATATACCACATTCAGTGCAAGTTCATCCATAGCTGGGATTCCATGCTGTGCTGTGTAGATGTAGCCCAATGCTTTTGTGGTACCTGTTGCAGTAGTGGTTAAACAGGTCATACTATGTTAAGCTTCACCACATCTCAAATAAATAGAGAAATATTATCTCTATTTTACATTTACAAAGAGGCAATAACATATCCAATGTCACACAAAAAGTCTAAGTGAAGACAGGAATTGCACCTTATTCTCATGAATCTAAGGTTAGGGTTCTAACCTTGAGCAGTCCTTTTTTCTTGGTTCCTCAAGTATTTGTTTATAAGTGTTTTGATTGGGGGCAACTTGGAGAGAGAAGGAACATCCAACAAAGGTATAATAGAATTGAGATTGATGACAAGGTAAAACAAGTGAACCAAGTCAGTATCTTGCTGAAATGATTTGATTAGAGGTGCACTGATACATCAGTCCCATATTGGATCGGCACCTATATAAGGAAAAGACTGTATCAGCGATTGGCTTTTTTTGGCTGATGTGGCTGATAATGCTACTGATGAAATGTCCTGTGCATGTGCAGCCACAGTGCAGCACAGCACACAGGTGAACAGGAGCACAGCTCCTCAGTGTGGAGAGCAGCTGGGTCTGGCTGGTAAGTCTGTTGTGAGGCAAAGGGCAGGGCTCAGATCAAGGCCCCAGCAGTGAGGGAGGGAATGGGGCTGGGGCAGACGCTGCATAGCTCGGCTGGGGCATGGGACAGAGGTGGGGTGTGTGTGTGTAGGGGGGGTGACAGCTCCTGCCACTGCACGCACCCCAGGAGGGCATTGGGGGTGTATGCCCCCGGATCTGCATGTGGGGCAAGGGCAGGCTGCTGCTGCAGGATGGGGCCAGGGTGGCGCCAGGCTCTTCCCAGTGTGGGGCTGGTCCAGGCTGCGCTCGGGGTGGGCAGCAGCAACACTGGGAGGGGCCTACAGCAAATTTTGGGGCAGCTGCAGCACCTGCTGTAGCCCCTTCCCAGTGTTGCTGCCACCCACCCAAGCACAGCCCTGCCCAACCCCCAGCTGGGAAGGGCTCGGCACAGCCCCGCCCTTGCCGCACCAGATCTGGGGGCATGTGCCCCTCATGCCCTCCCAGCCCTGGTTGCTGACTGGTGTCTCCCCTGACCCCTCCCCCCTCGCCCCTTCCCCCACAACAGACTTACCAGCTGGACGCTGCTCTCCATGCCGCCTGGCTGCATATCGGAATCGGTTTGGTATTGGCTGATACGGCCATCAGTATAGGCCCAAAAATTCTCTATCGGTGCACCCTTAGAGTTGATGTAATCTTTTAATTGTTTTGCTCTGGACGAGCATACACAAGCAGTTTGCAGGGTCTGAAATCCTGAGGTTTGAGGCCCTGCAAACTGCACGCAGCACATGTGCACCCATTTGCCATGCTGTTATTTAGCAGCATGGTAGGTTTTTTTGACACTGACAGCCACGGGGGAAAAAAGGTGAGGCGCATGTGGCAGCAGCGTGTGGTGCCAGAAACTGGAGCCTGGCCTGCCAGAATCATGCTCTGGCTGCTGACCTGGCTCCGAGCAGCTCGCTCTGTGCCACTGCTGCCCTGAGAGGCCCCCAGGTAAGGCTGCTGGAGCCTCCCCTACCCCACCTAGGTTACTTTGCCAGATACCAGAGTGTGCACGCAGAGGCATGCCCTGGGGACATATAGCAGTGGTACATATGTGCTATTTGTCCATGGGAAACATGCACCCCTGCACATGGGTGCTTGTCAGGACACACCCTGAGCCCAACTAGCCAATGTATAGAGCAGGGAAGTGGATTTTCTGAATGGAGGATTAAGCAGATTAATGCTTTTAACAGTTACTTGAGAGAGAATCTGAGGAGTAAGCATTATTTGAGCATTCATGTGTTGCAGTAGGAATGGTGAGATGCGTTGGATCCATCTGAATGCCTATGACATGAGAGAGCTAGCAGGTCAAGATCTCATGAGCTCCGATTGTATTCCAGAAGCAGCTTTCTTCTTCAGTGCTCCAAGTAGCAGGCTGCTCCTGTCCCTGACTGGCAGGTGTCAGTGCCTGAGCAGGCTGCTTGAAAGTTAGGAATAGAATCTGTGGATTGAGGTGAAGGAGAAGGGAAGTAAGAGCTACTGAGCAACAAATGACATAAAACTTGATTAGTATTTACTAAGCCAGATCATATTTAATGCAAAAATAAGATAGGATAGTTGTGGCTGATGTAGGCAGGTAGGAAGAACATGTGGGTCCAAGACTGGCCAAAATATTTCAGTTTTATTCGTTAGTGTTTCATGGTAAGCATCACCATGAAACATTCAAGATCTTACCTCTTTGAGAAAGAGATTGTAATAGTATGTAGCATTGACCATGTTTACAAAGTACTGTTAAGAAAATCAACTGTTGTACCTCCACATTCAGGGCAGCGCTTCTACAAGTTGAACCCAAAGATCATATTTCACATGTACTGTTATGTGTGAATTTTACGAAAACGTGAAAATCAAAGCAAACCTCATACATTTCGTTCTATGGATACCAAATATAAAGCATTAAACCATTTAGTTGTTGCAGTGCTTTTTTAATACTGTCTATCTTGCCCTTGCCTCTGGATTAAGAGCCATTGTAAAATATTTAAACCTAATAGTGAAATTTTAGGGCACACCATCTTGTTTTAAATATTTTTTTAAATCTAGCAAAACAAGATTTATGACAGACAGACTTATATAGTTTAGATTTGTTTATAAAATTCTCTGTGCTTCTCTCCTTTGAGAGTGGGTTTTTCTCTGGGCTCATAAAGAGTGTGTTAAAGTACGTATGCATGTGTGAGAAATGCAATATGATAGGTAATGTCCTTCATTTCATTTTTTTCTTCTTTTAGACAGCAGAAATCATGTCACAGAAGATGCAAAAACCGAGTCCATCAGTGATACAGCTGATCTCGCCCTTCCACCTGAAATGCCAATTTTAATTGATTTCCATGCTTTGAAAGATATCCTGGGGCCACCTATGTATGAAATGGAGGTAACAGATTTCATTGTCTCCATTTCCAGCATTTCTTTCCATTCAAACTTGTCTATTGTGATTAGTTCTCCTGTCCTATTGCTGGTGACCCACGTTTGTGTGGTTTTTATATCTCTTTTAAATCTGTCATTGATAGACCTTGCTTCCTTCCCTTCACAAAGCCACTTCCCTTGCATCTTTTGATCTGGTCTGCTTGCGATAAGATTTATTTTTCACCTAAAAAAATTCAGTAAGTATGTTAATTGGTTGTGTAGAATAATGTAATAGTATGATTGCATGGTAGTAAAGTTTCCTGTAGCTGTAGTGAGGATGTGTTGTTTTTCTAAGAATTTTTTATAATTTTATTTTTACTCGTCTCAGGCAAGAAGCCCAAAGTAGAAGTCAAATGTCCGGTCTCTGAGGCAGGAGCCATAAAATGAACCCATGCTCCTAATTAAAAACAGCCAGTGTTTTGTAGGTGTAAAAACCACCACTCCATTTTATGTCAGTAGTTCTCAGACGTCTTAAAATAACTTGACTCCTAGTTATCAAAAAAAATGTTGACCACCACAGCTTCCCCTCCTGTTCCATAAAGACTGCTTTCTTTCCTCGTGATGGTCTGCTGTGATGGTATCCAACTACTACTGATTCGTCTTTGTGCGTTACAGTCGTTTTCTGTTTCACCTTTTGATCCAGGTAAACTGACTTTATAGCAGGTGGTGGTTATAGAACTCCTGCCCCTGGGGCAGGGAACTGGACTTGATCTTCAAGGTCCCTACCAGCCCTAATGTCTATGAAATCCATAAGTCGGTGTCCCATACCGCAGGGAGGCAAGCAAACAGTGACAGATGTGAAACGCCCTGTTGGCTTCCTTCATTCTGAAGAGGGGAGCAGTGAAGGAGTCATCCCTAGGGGAAGTGGAAACAAGGATAAAAGAGGAAACTTACACAAAAGATGAGAAGCTTATTAGTGGTCTCCCTTTGACCTTCCTTTTCCTCTTCTTGTAATGTGAGGCGCAGACTCTGAAAGGGTTGCAGGGATTGGGGAGAAGAATGTGTGGCATTAAAGAAGCTTTGTTTCTCCAGTAGAGAAGTGTCTGTATCCTGTAACTTCCATAGAGGTTATTCCAGTTTGGAACCAGTTCTAGAGTTGGCTATCAGTTGGAATCAGCTGCAAACAGCTCTGTTTGCAGTTCGGATATTTTTTGGCAATTTAAGCTTCTTCAAGTGTGTTAAAAGTTTTGAGGTTTTTCATGGATAAATATTGGAAGTAAATTTTTTAAAGTTTGGCGTCTAATACCACAAGCAGAAATATGCAGATACAGTTGCATATTGATATGCAGTTGTGTTCTTATGTAAGTTTGGATAAATGGGTTGTGTGTGGGGGGGGGATGTTCATCTGTGTGTCGGGGGGTGAAGTGGGCGTGTATGTGCACATGTTCTTTTGTGTGCACAATTGTTAAAACTTGTGCCTCTGCTTCCTTTCATGAATCTGCCAGCCTCCAACTTGGCCATATAAAGACTGGGTTTAATTTTTGTGTGACAAAAAGAAAACGCATGGAAATCGAGTATCGTAACCAACTAGAACTCTATAGAACTAGAGAGGAATCTAAAACTTTAAGTCCTTAATCAGGCTGGAATGTATATGTCTCTCTCTTTGTTTTCCATGTAATGCAATTTGAATTAAATGCAGATGTATCCTTGGTAAACATACAAGTTACTGCTTATGAAACAACTAATAGTTAATGTAACTGAGAGAGGATCATCTTCCAAGATAACGGATAATGTTCTTGGTTAGCAGTCATTAACCGTCTCAGGGTACGTAAGTATTAGGTGGGCTCCAGAACCTTTCTAGATAGTTTGGTTCAGGTGTTTTTTTATTTTTATTTTTTTTAATTCCTCAAGTGGCCCCTTGACTTCTATAACAGTGAAATTTTCTTTCTAATGAATTATCTCAAAAGACTCTGTGACTTCCTATGTAATAAGAAGTATAGTGCTTCTCAGAGAAATCATTCCATACTGGGTACGCCTGGTCAACCTATGGTGCATTTTTGTCTAGCTGGCCTTAAGAGCTTCACCACTGACCTGCATTGTCATCTCTAATAAGATTAATAGGAATTGCCTTCACTGTCTCTAGGTCAGTTGGTGGCAATGAGGAATTGAAAATCTAAAGAGATTGGATTGATCTGCTCCCCCCCCCCCCCCCCCCCAACTACATAGCATAGCATAGAATACTTTTAAAAATAGGGCTATTTTAATAAAGTATCCCTATCATTGTAGCTGACATCTCCCAATAGAGAGGGATAGAAGAGAACTTGGCTTGTAATTGTAGAATTAGTTAATTTGCAACAAACAAACAGTCATTGCATAATGCCTTTAAAGAACAAAACCTTGATTCCCTAGGGTGCCATAGGTGAGTAACCTCACTGGAATAAATCCTTGTAGTGAGGCTTTGGAACTACTTTTAACACCAGCTTAAAATCATACTGTTGTGATGCATCCTAGCACAACATAGTCTCAGAGCTTTCAACCATTCCCCAAGTTTGGAAGCATTATATTACTCTTACTATATGTTCACGAGCCCCAGTTTGGAAGACTTATTTCTCTAAACCCCCCCTTGATTCAGTTTAGTTACTAAAATGTTCTCAATGTCAAGTTGAAACCTCACCAGAATAATTATTTCCTCTGCAGATGTGGAAATGTGAGGGTGGAGTGAGTAGAATGATGGAGTACTGAACTGGGAAGGGAAGGCCATAATACCATGGAAGTTGTCACATACCATGGAAGGTGCATGGTTCTAGATACTAAAAATATATTGGGTTGCATATAAAAATGGTGGTCTTCTGTATCCTGGCACTTTTGAAGGAAACTACCTAAGACAACGATGTTACAATGACTTTTTGCATGGAAGGAAGTCTTGCTTGATTAGTCTTGCAAGGGGTGAAAATCAAGACTCTCCTGAGAAACAAGATAGTTTCCAAATGCTAACAAATAATTTGAAAATATCTTGGCACACACATTATGGCAGTAGTGATATTGTAGCCATGATGGTCCAGGAAATATCCAAGAGGCAAGGATTTTTGTGGGTGGAACCTTTTATTATCCTCAGTGCATGGTTGGGATAAACTTAGACAAGCTTTTGAATGCAGTATGTATTTGTCAGCTACACTGATGTAAATCAGACATGCTGGAGTTAATTGTGGGAATTCTGTTATCTTAAACATGGTGACATGAGCCAATATAGTGTTTGTTTGCATATTGATTCCGCAGAAGAATTTTTTTTACATAAATATTTCTTCCCTTGAATGAGGGGAGGGAGGTGTTAGTGTGTAATGGCCTTTTAACTATGCTCATTGTTTTTAAAACAGTATTTCTCTGTTGCATTACTTCTAAACAGTTTTTTGTCTGTTTTTGTTTTCTCTGTAAAAAGTGATAGCTTAGTGCAAGGTTTGGCAAGGATTTTGGGCAGAGTGCCAATAACATCCACAACCTCGATTTGTGAGATATTGCCATGCCAAGGCGAATGGAGGGAACTGCGAGGGGCCCAATCCTTGTGGCAGCATAGCCCCAGCCCCTCCCCCACTGCCCATCCCAAGGCACACGTGCCAAGCAAAATGCCTTCACGTGACACCTTCTGGCACCCGTGCTGGAGGTTGCCTACCCCTGGCTTAGTGTTTCATGGAAAATGTTTTGAAGTAGGTTGTTTGTTTACATTTAATCCTGTGTCTTGGCAGGAATCATGGGTTCGTAATCAAAGAGAAAACAGCCTTGGGACTGAGTATGGGGTTGTTTTTTTTTTTAAAAAAAAAAAGCCTTTTCTGTGAAATAATAAAAACAGAGGTTTATTCTAATCTTTAAAGTTATTCCATGAGTGTATTCTACTTGAAAAGTAACAAGGGATAAAAGTAATTTTTGGCCAACGGTTGTTTTAAAATATAGAGGTTTCTAAGTGTAGGAAATACATTAGACTTGGAATATAAAAGATCAAGCAATTTGTTTAGAATTGCGCTCTGTTGCTTTTTAATCCTAACTGTTCCTGTATCTGAAGACAACCTCCACAAATCCTACCCTCAGTTATAACTGAGGAAGATTCTGAAGTTTGGTATACCATGGTTCACACAAGAGATTTAGATGCACAAAATATAGGCATAATAGGATCTTAGATTGGTTCTAACAAGTGAACAGAAATATTTTATCTGGCTGTTAATCACGTCTTTAGTATATTGTGCAGATGCATTTAAATTTCTTCAGCACATTAGTATTTTTTGAGCACATTATGACATTAATACCATTTTGAGTACTATTTACTAGAGTTGGTTCCTGAGAAAATAGACTACAGACTATCCTTTTGGTGGTAGTACTCGGCAACTAATACTCACTGTGGCCATTGAGGATCTAGCCCAGCATTCTTGGCACATTTAGACTGGTATTAACCATGTGGAATAACTTTTTACTGCATGCCAAAACACACAATCCCTGTTGTAGATCATTGGTAATAAACAGCAAAATGGAGGTGAATGTGAAAATGTTAGAGTACTGTATAATGAGAGAATAAAGCAGTCTAGTTATAGGGAATACTGACCATGGGAAAGGCTGCTGCTTAATATTTACATCTTTTGAAATCTCACAGGTTCACACTCCAATTAAAACCTCAGTTAGGGGTCACATAAGTCTGAATCATGGTCTGATGCAGTCTCAACAACACAGTAGGAAAGTCACTGATCCAAAGTAATTGAGACCAAAACTCAAATTGTTTGGCTAATGAAAAACATACTGAATGAACATTGATACAAACCCCTTTCAGTTTGTTTCAACTTTTCCTGCAATTATTAGAACAGTTCTCTTTCTTTTAGTTCCATCTCTCACATTTATGCCACACGACATAATGGTTGACAGTACATCCTGCATTTGGATAATTGGCAGTCAGAGGACTACTATTGTTTTATTACATGAAAGAATTTTAAAATGTGAACAAGATGCTTTTAACCCATAAATGTTTGGAAAAATTGGCTATGGGATAAT